TTCTGACATTGGGAAGCAAAATCTCCTCCAAGTTCATGAACTTTCTCAAAGATTGAGCACGGGCTAGGGGAGGAAGAAGCATGTGATGCAACTGGAGTCAACTCTTTGAAGCTCTTCTTAGTGTGGATGCTCTTCTTTTGGATCATTTTCATTAGAAAAATTTGCTCCTCATCCTTATCTCCAAAAGCTAAAGTAGTCATATAGAGAGATTAGATAAGGGATGAGTAGTTGATTCCAATGGTTATGTTAGAAAGTCATATACAAGATAGAACTCATAAAAACATGATCAACATTGATAGTCAGCTGCTTTTGAATTATGAAATTTAAATTAGCCAAATCTTTAGTTATATCACTTAAATATAAGTTTGGTAACAACCTACCATATATGGAGTTAGGCCTTGAACTCCAATGTAAGTGCATTGGTAGAAAAATTAATTATTTTCTCCTCTCACACTTTCCATCGGACTCCATAATCAAACTTAGTTAAATATCACAAAATTAATTATGATTAGGATGGTTATCAAACAATTTAGTTGATTTTTCAATAGGGTGGTTTGATAAGTCGTATATAGTGTTGATCGACAAACTATCAAATGAAACTCAATTACTCTTTAAATAGAAATTATAATCATTATGTTCCTTATCATTTATTAATAGCTCACAGACCATAGGAATGATAGCAGCATTGGGTCCCTAACAAAATCTTCACACCCACTCTCTGCTATGTTCGACTCAACAACACCACCACCCAGACTAAAAAATTCTTAGGTATTAACTTATGATGGAGATAGGGTCTTTATACCTTTCTTAGGCCTCAACACTAATAAATCGGTCGGTGTTGAATGATCTATAACTCTTCTTCTTCCCCTTTTATGTGAGTTGGGCGCAATCTCTTTAATGAATGAAAGAAGAAAGTAAGTGTCTAGCTTGTAGAATTTTGAAAATCCAAATATTTTGTGAGAAATTTGGTTTGAAGCTAGCCTTAATTTATAGATGATTTGGCTTTTCAGATCTATGTGGGTTGTGCCTAGGCACTAGGTCTCTCCGTCTAGTAGTGTTACAGCAGATCTAGTTCTTTAGTTGGTCAACAATACTGAATGGCAGCCATCAATTACCATTCATTAAAATTGATCAATTTCAATTCTATTGATTGAGCACTGAGGCACTAAGGGCAGCATTGTGGTGCTAAGTTCACACTCGATCAAACATGCTTAATATTACCAACAAATTACACCTAAAATGATGGGTCATCATGAATAAATTTGATGGAGCATTATGGTACTAGAGGGTAGCACTGTGATGCATGGTAGGTTTCTTAAATGTCCAGGTAACGCCAAAAGATATCCATATGGCATGTTGTATTGACCAGAGGTTAGACACTACGACTGTTGATTACCAAGGTGCTATCGAGTATGACACTGTAACATAGCCTCAATTGTTGCTATGGTGCTCTCATAGAAATATAATTATTCAAGCAAGAGATTGGCACCTATGCACTATGGGGTTGCATAATGGTGCCATGTTAAAATCATGCAAGTAGCCTAGATATTATAGAGAATATCATGTCACACATATCACACAATCACATAAGCAATCAATCAATTAACGAAACATAAGATAACACTTGAGTTACCTCCCAAGAAGTGTTTAATTTGATATCTTCACCTGATAATTCAAGCTCTATCACTGAGGATGAGTCAGCTTTATCAGCTCCTTTTCTCTACCCAAATCAATACCAATATAGGGTTTTAACCTCTGGACATTGACTTTAAAAGTGTGGGGTGAGTTTGGGTTTTGAAATTCTACTACCTCATAAGAAAATACTTTAACTACGCTTAATGGTTAAAAAAATAGAGATTTAAATTTTCCTGAAAATAATTTTAATCTTGAGTTGAATAGTATAACCTCTTAATTAGGGGTACATTTTTTTATAAAACTTGCAATCATATCATTTTTTAATATTTTCCTTGTATATTAAAGTATTTTTGTATTTTTCAAATCTAATTTCATCTCACTCATTTAGTTATACTATTCTTTTATCTTAAATATCTTTCAAATTAAAATAAAATTCATTAGAAGAACAAAAGGCTTTGTGCTCAAGCTCTAGGGGCCTACAAGTAGGTGAACAACTCGAACTTGAATCGGTCGATATTCAATCATGTTTGTTCGGTTAATAAATAAACAAGTTTAAACATTTTTTTTTAACCCGAATGTTAAATGAATAAAATTTGAACATAGTCCAAATTGTTTATTAATGTTCACGAATAAGCTCATTTATGGTTCAACAACTAACTTGTTAAATGCTTTTACTTATAAGGTATATTACTTAAATATAATTGATTAATTAATACTTATTTAATTATATATTTAATGTAACATATTATAACTTAATATCAATAAGGATATAAATTTAATTTAATTCTTTCTTTTTGTATTTCAATGAACTATTTAGTGTGTAATTATGTTATCTGATTGAAAGAAAGCTAAACTAGCTAAATACTAATTTAAAATTTATTTTGGTTCTTATTTATTTAAATTTAAAAAATTATTTATTATTAATTTTATAAAAATAACAAATCATCATTGAATTATTGGCTTGTTTCTAATTATATATAATAATTAAATACATCTTTTTTTGCTTATATTAAAAATGAAGCAATTTTTTTTATTTTTTAGCTTGTTCAATTATATGAACAAGCCAAGTACAAATCAAGTATGATTGTTAAAAGTATTAAGCAATACAAGTAAGAACATATATGCAAAAGCTTGACTCAAGCTCGAATTGAACATGAACAATTATGATTCTACCAAGCCAAGTACAATCCATGACATATTTGATTTGACTAGACTCAAAATCTTAGTCCTACTTAAGTGCTATGTTGTTGGAGGGATTTAGAGTGCATTATATTTTAAATGCAAGGGTTTTAAAGTTTTGAGTGTTTAATTAAGAGTATGGTGTATTCAAAATATTTTACCAAAGAATTTAAAACTCACCTCGTAGTTCAATTTTGGTGTATTCAACAAATTCAATCAATTTTGAAATACACCATGTTACCTTTGCTTAATGCACTCTCAAAACAACGAAACTCATAATCCAACATCACTTGCAACCCTTATTAAACCCATTAGCGTCGCTCAACACTTGTCTAATGATGCTCGCAATCCTCCCCTCATTACGCTTGTATCCCACCTTCTATAATAAACTCATAATGTATTGAAGATAATAATCATCTTTCAATTTCATTGACAACCTTTGATGACAACCCATCATGCCCTCTAACTGTGTTGATGTCTTTAACCTCATCATCTCCATCATTGTGCTCAAAACTTATAACATTTCCTGACCCAAAAAATGATTATACTTGGAAGCAACCAAACACCAAATAACTCTAGAATTTATTTTATAAGCTACCAAGTAAAATATAATATTTCTAATGACTATTTCTATTTATATTGTATATAGAATACACCTAAATATCAAATATTTGCAAATAACTAATCCTTTAATTATTTTTTTAATTAGCTGAACTTGCCCATCCATGTCTCAGTAAAGCAACTAGATGTTGAATTTCATATACCAAGTATGTTAATTTAAGTATGAAGCTTAAAATCTAAACATAGATGTTCAACCTATTAGTATAGACTGACTAATCCATGCGATATCTCAACCTTATGAGTTTGTATATAATTATGATTCACTTTATAGTAGATAACTAAAGCAAAATCAATATAGATTGTCCCTTGTAAGCATCATAGTTATAGGAGTTGATTCAATGTGTTATCCTCATTATATCATACAACTCTAATGGTCATCATTGTTTAAAAAATAAAGCTAGGAGGGTCTAGTGATTTTCTTATTCCAATTAAGATATCAAACTAGATATTAAGCTTTCTAATCTCTTATGGTGATGTGTACAAGTGTAAAGATAGACATCCTTATAGTATGGAAGAATCGTCCTACATAATGCATTCCATTGTGGAGTCTAGGATTATTTAATTAAGGCATGTACTTTTTCAAGTGTCATGAATCTAGTATGAGCATTTTTCTATAGATAATGCAAAGTATATGTTCCACTTAATCATTGCTCGTTAAGTTTCTAGTCCTAATTTATGGATTTAGAAGACCCTTTAACTTTGCATAGTTCAAAAACCTTATAGCATTATTAGTCTAATTTAGATCTCTCTTGAGATCATTGAGTAATATGATTCCAATAAGTGATAACTATGTTTCTAACATTTAGACTGTCCTCATTAATTATTTTTAAACCCAATCTCCATAGCCTTCAACACAATTTCTTTCACAGTTTGATACTCCTGAAGCCTAAGTATATTTTGACTGCACATATCCTAACTACCTGTGATGTTGAAAATAAGCAACTCTTCAAACGATAGTTATCTTAGGTGTTCGTTTTCTTAAGTGTTATGCTCAGTATGTAATTAACTATAAGTCTTATGATGCCCACAATCATTTCCTCATTGCTCGATATGAGGCTTATGATGCCCACAATCACTAAAAAAAATGATGTTACAACATTAAATTAAACAATAAATTTAATAATATGCTTTCATGGCATTAGCTTATGCAGGCTAAGCATTATAAAAAGACAACAAAACAACACAATAATATTGCCACAATGAATTTTCAATCTCTCTACAAAATATTGGCATAACTTCAACGTAAAAGCCTCACAACTAGCTGAAATTATAAATAAAAAATGTGGCAATATTAAATTAGACAATAATTTTGATGATATGCTTTCAAAGCATTAGCTTATGCAGGCGAAGCATTATAACAAAAATAACAAAACAGCACAAGAAGATTGCCACATTGAATTTTCAATCTCTACAAAATAGTGGTACATAAAGCCTCACGGCTAGCTGAAATTAAAAATTTGGATATTCCACTCCTATAGACAACAGAACAAAATTTATGAGAAAAGAAAGACCATATGAAAGAAATTCAATAACGACATTTCGATTCATGGACTTTGAATCATGATAAAAAAATCTTCAATTTGTCCATAAACTAACATGATAACTATCATCATCATCCAAGTGCCCAATCAATCCCTTGCATATTTAGCATATCATTCAGGAATTATCCAACTCATCAAAACTAGAGTTTGATCTTACAGAATATTCGGCTACAAGCTTTGCAAACATAGATGACTTATTCTCTAGCAGTCTAGTCGGTGAGTCATGTTCAATGATTAAACCTGTGAAGTATAAGACATCCGCCCATTAACTTTCTATACAAAAGTTAAATGATGCAAAAGATACAAAAAAAGGGTATAAAAGAAAGAAGACCGACCATCATCAAGAAGAAGAACAATGTCACTATCAAGGACTGATGTTATCCTATGTGCTACTGTGATGACAGTTGAATCAGAAAATTGTTGCCTCAATGTTTTCTGAATTAGATTATCAGTTGCAGTGTCAACTGAAGCTGTTGCTTCATCGAGTACCAATACCTTGCTTCTTTTGAGAATTACTCTTCCAAGACAAACCAATTGACGTTGACCCACACTCCAATTTTCACCATTTTCAGTCACTGTAAGCAGATTTTGTTTACCAAAATATCATGTGTTACAAATGTGAAATATAAGGTTCTTAAGCTAGGTGCTAGTTATGAATTACCACCACACATCAAATGTCATTACTAGCATAAAAGCTTTACTCATATTTTCACTTATGATATTAGACTATTTTCTGCTTCATGTGCATTTAAACACCATCGAAAAATAACAAAAAAGTCAATTGGATAAAAAAGGAAGATTTACGTACATACCACTCAATTCCTATGTATTTACTTATCTAACACATAAACTTAAATTTTTACATACATGCCACTTTGCCTATGCATCAAAATTTGTATTTCACCTTTTAAAAGTTAAAATGGTGGCATTTTTTATGTGAAATAAAAGATTTGGGTGGTATAAATATGAAAAATAAAGTTTAGACGTTAGATATGTGAATACAAAAGAATTGGTTGGTATGTATGTAAATGCCTGAACATAAAACATTGTTTTAAATGACAAAATTCATGAACGAAGCCTTACCTATTGAATCTAATTTATTTTCTTTCTTACGAACTTCATCACCAAGTTGGCAACAATCCAATGCCTATTAAATAAAAAATAAAAAAAAGCAACAGAAGATGTTATAAATGATAAAAAATATGTCTTCAAGAAAGTTTGAGAAATTAACATTCAGAAATTGAAAGCACCTCCCAGATTTGCTCATCTGTGTGCTCTTCAAGTGGATCAAGATTGCTACGCACGGTTCCCTCAAACATTGTAGGATCTTGTGGAATAATGCTCAACTTGGATCTCAAATCATGAAGTCCAATGGTTGAGATGTTGATGCCATCAATGATAATTTCACCAACCGTAGGATCTATGATGCGGAAGAGTGTTTGAATTAAGGTAGATTTGCCACTACCAGTTCTCCCAACAATGCCGGTTTTCAAGCCTCCAGGGAAATTGCATGTGAGGCCTTTTAAAACGAATGGCAGATGCGGTGCATAGCGGACCTATATTGAAATTAGTTGGAATTAAAGGAGGTTTTATTCAAAATTGATAAATAAATTATATTGGAAAAACTTTTGAATAACAAAAATAATGTACAAGTGTTGCTAAAATAGGAACGAACCAGCATTAATTACAATTTCTTACAAAAAAATAACAATAAGTTTAACTGATAAAGTGGATTTAACATAACTCCTACAAAATATGAATTTATAGTGTCAAACCCTAAATGTTTTTCATATGACTATTATGATGCAGATAATAATGATCACAAAGATGATTAGAATAAGAAAGAAAATGACTTCTCCAAAGCCCCAAAATAATTATCTACAAATTTCCTTAATTGTCTAATTCATTGTTTTATTTGCCTAGCTAAGCAAGACTTATGAAATGCTAATGAAAAAAACAAGGATTTTATTCTTGTTAATCTCACAAGTTGATTTTAAGGCAATCCCTAACTAGATTGGCCATAAGACAGGAGAAAAAACAAAGATTTTATTCTTGCTGATCTTACAAGTTAATTTTAAGACAATCCATAACCATATTTAGTGTAGAAAGAATTTGTAGAAAAAGGGTTAAAAATCAAATATTTGGATGATTTCAAATAAATAAACTAAGATAATGAGGAAGGTAGCAAAAATATATCCCCAAGCGAAAATTAACCATATCCTATATCCCTTAAAAATATTATTTTGGTGAATCAGACACATTTTGCATTTCTTACAGGGACACTTGTACAATCCTGAATTAGAATTTTGTCATAGATTTAGAAAGTAAGTTCATAGAAGAAAAACATTCATGCCTAACGGAAAGTTAAAGCAAGCAAATTCATACATCTTGGGAACTTATATGTGCTATGTAAGATCGACAACTTTGCCTCTACCTATTCTCTTTTTCTTTCAACTTTAACATAATAAATTTACTAAAGATTGGCAGATATCTAATAGTCTATGAATAATAGAGGCACAAGGGTTGAAAATATGAAAAGAACATTTTCCCCAAGAAAGGAGAAAATTAACTTAGAAGGAGCTTCACCAATTGAAAATCCTCACACATCAACACAATTATAGCTAATGTAGTTTATAGTATCCAAGGCCAAACATTGTAGGTTACCTGCATGTTGTTGAAATATTAAGAGAATAATTATAATTCTTCCTATTTTTGCTTCTAATCATGATGGTAATCTACCTTTATCATTCTAATTGAAAACAAATTTATATGTCAACATTTCATAAAATATTACATAAGTAACATTACATATCAAATCACATACCTTTAAAAACTATAAAAAGAACATTGAACGGTATTTCATTAAATATTATTACTCTCATTAGAAACTTCTAGTAAATTTTCATTTATGTTAACCATATGTCATTGACAGGTTCAATTCATCTTTTCTAACAAGTATAATGCGGCAGAAACTGAAATGAAAGCACAATGCGATTGTTGCAGTTTTTGAACTGTTATAAGGTCATATGGGAGATGTGTCAGCCTTTGCTCATACAAAATAAATTCCATAGAACATTTAAAAAAGGTTTTCACCTCTAAATATATATTTATACGTAGAGTACCTAAATTTTTCATTTTTATCTGTTTGCTAAGACAATCCTTAGGGTAGAATTCATGATTAATTGTATTTCTTCCTTTCTATTTCCTTCTTAACCCAATATTTAATTTACATATTATATCCTGCAATTTATAATGAATACTACTTCTCAAGTCTCCTCTGACATGTAGAAAACTTATTTTGATTGAAATAAATTTTATAGATTTCAATTCCACCCTTTGTATTAGCCTTTTTTTTTTGTTTGCACCATCACAAACATAATTTACAATGGCTAAGCCATCAACTACACTATTTAATTGAGATGACTCAAATTAAATTTTATCTTCTTTTATGATATCATGTGAAATGTCGGCTTTCCTTTTAATAATTTTTGTAAATCTAACTTCTCTATTAATTTAAGCTCGCACACATAAAACAACAAGCTAAATAAATCATTACTTTTTGGTCTCAAAAAGATTCTTTCTTTTGCATTTTCTAGGAAAGACGGATGTTTGGTGAATTTTTGGCACATAAACATCTAGGACTATTCTATTCTTACTCCTTGGCCATTTGTTTTAAATCAGTAGATATTCAATGAAAATGGTCCACCTTAGTAAATGATAAATCTTCAAAGTTTACTCAAGATTTAACTTAATAACATCATAATCATCATCAAAATCATCATGAAACTTATCTCAATTCATCTTTATTGAATGTGGCATAAGGAAGCTATTTGGTGCAAATACATTTGGCCATTACCATAAGCAAAATTATGCAGAGGATTACCTGCAGGTCATGAAGTTCCAAATCTCCTTTTGATGGCCAGTTACCATCAGGCCTGTTAGTTTCTATAACAAGAGGAGGCTCACTAGAAATGTTTGTATACTGAAATATCCTCTCCACTGCAATTATTTTGTTTTCAAGGCTACATAGGGTCCATATGACCCATGCCTGCAGCGTATTCAGGGTAAGACCATATGTCACGGCAAGGCCAGCAAGTCCTGGCATGTACAAAAAATGTTAAAAAGTTTTTTATCATATCTCGGTTGCTTGATTTAGTTCAAAAAGATAAACAATATATTTCTGCAAACAAAGAATTACCGGGATCAATTACCCCTTTTGGCAAGCAAATCAAGAATACCAAACAAAATGCAAAAACAATGGTTGACAACAACTCCAAATGAAAGGAAAGCCACTGCATAGCACTGTTTATATGAAACCGTGACCGATTGCACTCATCCAAACGCTGTGAATTAGTGTTTATAAATCTCGATTCTTCACCGAAACTTCTAATGGTTGTTGATCCGGATAATGATTCTGAAAAATGCTGTATAATTGGAGCTTTAAATAGTTTAAATAGCCCCACCAACCTCCCACCAACCTTGCCAGTTCTCGTGCTGTATCAATGTAATATTGCTGAAGCAGAAAAAAGAAAATGAATGTCATGCTCATCCCCCTCTAGTACAAACAACTTGAAGGTGCATTTACGTACACACCATCCTATTCTTATATATTTAGATATATAACACAATTTCCTATTTGCATATATACCACTCAACTTTTTTACATCGCATCCAAAATACCACTATTACTAACTTTTAATGCCAAAACACACCTTCTCATACATAATTTTTTAACACCAATATGTTATAAATATAAATATCGAACTTTAATAGGTGTTAGATATGGAACATGTAAGAAACGTAAGGTATGCATGTATATTTCCCAAAGAAAAAAAAATGCATTGTTTATGTTAATCCACTCAAATGGCTAAATAAACTTCGGAAGTAAATATGAGTTCTAATTTTGGTAATACCTGATACCAGAAGCTTAATCCAACCACTGGAATAAAGATGATGAAAACCTGCCACGCAACTTGTGACATGACTAGAATAATTCCAATAAATTGTATGATTGCGAATGCAAATCCGGCAATTTGGTTTGGTATGCTTGTATCTACATCACTCTGATCGCTTGAAGCCTGCGTCAACAATTTTTTTTTATATAAATTTGCATCTAATTCAATGAAATATTTTCAACAAATTTAAGTTTGCTTGGGTGTTTACAGACCCTGTTTAAAATACGACCACTGGGAGTGGAATCAAAGAAGGACATTGGAGCACGAAAAATGCTGAAATGCATCTCATTGAACAGTATTGTAGCAGTTTTGAGTCCAGCCGTAGCAAGTAGCAAAGCTCTGATAAGAATGCAGATAGAACTCCCAATGGCTAATGCAATATAGATATAGATAAGAGTAAGCACAGTAACTGGAGCTTCCACATCTCTGGATGGCGGAGCAGCCCAAGCCATCCAGTAATTACTAGCTATCTGTAGAACTTGAAAGAGCATCTGGGCACAAAGTATCAGTGGCACTAAAGCACCTTTATATGCTTTTGTGATATACTTCCAGTAAACCCAAAACCCAACTCTTCCTTTCTCCCTTTCTTCTTCTTGCACAAGCTGGCCTTTTTGAATCTCTGTTTCATCAGCTTTAGAGTTAGGTGCATCTTTCTTAGCTTCATCAAGAGTCTGCTCGCTACTTTTACTATTAGCTGAACTGTCATCTTCAATATTGCTGGAATTATCTTTAGCAAGTTCCATATTGACAAGAACAGATAGAGCTTCTTTATGAGCGCCTACTAATTCCATTAAGTTCCTTCCAGAAGTGATAATGTCATTGTATTTACCCATTTCCGTTATCATTCCATCTTTCATTACCTAACAAGAAAGTTTCATTCTATTCAATATTTGCATCCAAAGTTAGAATGGATGAGTTATGGAACTCACCAATATAAGATCAGCAGTAGGCAAAAATTCAACTTGGTGGGTGACATAGACTATGGTTTTAGAAGCCAAAACCCCAAGCAAGCATTCCTGTTATTAAAGTATGGTTGTCAATGGCTTTAATCATTTGATGATAAAATATTATAGAGAATTACAGATGAACTTACAAAATTATAATTCGGACTAGTACATTACATGAATTTGAGTATTAGATAGGATAAAAGTCATATATTGCTAAGATGAGTGTGACCAAATTGAGATTGCGTGGGGGCAAGGCAACATCTATAAATTGAATAAAGATTATATTAGAGAGAGCACAGGTGCAATGTCTATTGAATGCAATGTAGAAAAATAGATTTATATAGATTGAAATTTATAAGAAATGCAGAAAATGCGCTATTAGACAAGTGGAGGATATTAGTGTCAAAATATTAGAAAGAAAAAGATGTTGGCCTAATAATATGGATAGAAGTTATTTGCATAGAATATGTTAAATGCCTCCTGTAAAACCTATATGGAAAAGAATTGAAAAAGAGAATTCATAAAAATGGCCCCAAAGAGTTGGGATTAAGCCAATGATGAGGACGGCCACAATGATGATGATGATGTTGTTGTTACAAGTGTTTTAAAATATACAAGTCCCGTTTAACATAAAACTAGTAAAGCATAGAAAATAAATTACTTATACTATGTATATGGATATGACAATTTTAGAGCTTTACCAGTCATAATAAATGAATAGTTCTTCAGCATCAATCCAAGAAACTAGAAAGCATAAACACTAAATTGGCTGCTTAGGTAAAGACATGGAAGTAATGTTTAGAAGGCACGTACCTTAAAAAGATGAGAGCCAGTATGGGCATCAACAGCACTAAATGGATCATCAAACAAAAAGATATCAGCATCTTGGTATAAGGCTCGTGCAATTTGAACTCTTTGCTTCTGTCCCCCACTCAGATTGATGCCTCTTTCCCCAATAATTGTTTGGTCACCAAAAGGAAGAATCTCTAAATCCTTCTTCAATGAGCACGCTTCCAGAACATTGTTATACTTTTCTGAGTCCATCTCCTTACCAAAAAGTATATTGTCTTGAATCTTTCCACTCTGTATCCATGGTGATTGTGCGACATAAGCTGTCGACCCACACAATTTCACTGTTCCAGCTATTTTAGGAACTTCACCTAAGATACAAGCAAGCAAACTGGACTTCCCAGAGCCAACAGTTCCACAAACTGCTACTCTCATACCATCAAGTATTTTAAAATTTAAATCTTTTAGGGTGGGAGACTCAGATGAAAGGTCCCATGAGAACATTCCGTTGCTCACTTCGATTGCAACATTAGAAATTTCTCTAGGAAGCCTTTCAACAATATTCTTTTGTAAGTCCTCAAGATGAAGAAATGATGTTATCCTATCTAATGAAACTTTAGTTTGAACAACCATAGAGATGGTATCAGGAAGATTGTAAATTGGTTCCTGCAACACTCTAAATGTTGCAAGTGCTGATAGAACCTTTCCTGACTCTAAAGGTATCCCCATAAGCACACAAGCTCCAAAAGTGACCACAGCTACAAAAGAAGGTGTACCCCAAAACACAAAAGTAGTCATTGCAGATGTGTAAACATATTTCTTCAACCAATTTGTCTCATTTTTTCTCAATTCAGCTATCTTTGCCAAGAACTTCATCTCCCAGCCTTGAAGCTTGAGAATCCTCATATTTCTTAAGATTTCTGAAGTGGATTTCATTCTTACATCTTTTGCTTCCATCACCTTTTCTTGGTACTTTTCTTGCATTTTACCCAAGGGAAAATTTGCTAACATAACAACAAAAGTAGCAGCTAATGCAGCTAAGCAGCTAGTGAAGCAAGGCCCAGCCTAGCATACAAGACAAACAGAGCCAAAGCTACTTGAACTGGGATCATCCACAGATCATGTAAGTACCAAGCAATCATTGCAACTCTATCAGCATCAACGCTCATGATATTGATGATCTCCCCACTGGTACGACCTTGCCTTGCATTGCTTGACAGGTTAAGACCCTTTCGATAGATAATTGATACCAGAAAAGACCTGACTCTCATGCCAATTTGTTGTAATCTAAAGTACCAATGCCTCTCTGTAAGGCATTCAAATATTTTTGCGATTATGAATGTCATTACTAAAACATAACCTTCATTAGCAAATGCCTGGTAACCGTTAAGAAACTGAACAAAGTAATCAATAAGATAGGGACCAACATAGGAAGCAACTGTATAAAGAAGCGCATATATGGATGTAAGTAAGACAAGTCTCCAAGAAGATAAGATTAACGACTTTGCTAAATTGAAAGAAGTTAGATGAGCAGTCCCACTGTTATTGTCATCACCACTAGTTGCTTTGCAAGCTTCAAGTTTGCCTTTAAAAATAGGTAGAAATCCATCAACACATCAACACTATCTCTGTGGTCCAGCTGTGGTACATCTTTAAGGCCTAAAGTCTTCTTATTACCAACAGCAAATAATGGATTCATCCAAGAGAAGGTGAGGATGCTAAGAAAACTAGCATTTGTGTACAAAGAGACATTACCAATACCACCATCACTCTCACTTGATTCACCATTAGGACTAATTACCCCACCATTCAGGAGAGATTCTTGGAGATGATTACTCCCATCTTCAACCCTCTTTCCAAACAACCCAGTATAATTAAGAATGAGAGCAGATATAAGAGACCCAAAATCCAATAACCACATATGGGTTCCCATGATCCCAAGCTTGCCATAATAGAAAAAATCCAAGGCAATGGATGCGAAGGAAATGAGCAAGTAGACACCCCACCATATCTTAAGAACAGCAGGGAACTTATTCTCGCCACATGGAAGGAAAGAGAAGTGCAAGTAAGCCGCAATGGCAAGCCATGTGATTGCTCTAACGCCCAAATCCAATTGGGTGGCATGTTCTTTAACAAAGGCCCCTTTGCCATCACCATTCCAGAAGACATCATAGATGCACAGGAGGATATAAAACAAGCATAGCATCAAGCAAGTTGAGACCGTGACTTTGTAATACAAAAATCTATCTCCTTTTGACCTATCTATACTCAAACCTCCACCACTAGACCGCCTACATAACCAGAGCAAAGACAAGGCAACCAAAAACAAAATGTGGCAGGAAGCAGAGAACAAATGAAGAAAACAAGGTTCTACGAAGAATCCATCGCTTTGATTCAGAAGGGAGGCTCGCATATCGTGAGCTACATCCTGCACAAACTCCATCTTTCCTTTCACTATCGTCCAGTTGCTGAAAAGAAAATTCAATCTTCAAAATCTTGGCTTCATGAGCCGAAGGAGAGTATTGAGGTTATATATTCTATAAGCCAAAATGAGGTGAAACAAAATGAGGCTCCTCGATCATGTTTGCAAGTTTGTCGTTTTCAGGTTGAGAGCAACCAAGTTGGTCATATTTTAAATTAAATTAGCCATGTCGTTCAGCATGGTGCCCAGATTCGATTGGGAAGAGGCGATGGCCGGCGGGAAAATCAGGCGGGTTCGATTTGTCCTTCATGTGTTATTTTGGCGCTTCCTCTGGCCCGCGGTTTTTAGGTTAAAATGGGGCCAAGTATGATTGCTTCTCTGAATTGAATCAATGATTTTTTTGTAGGGGTTCATTTTGTTGACTGAAGCGGGACAAGAACTATTTACAGGTAATGTTGAGTTCAGTGAATAAAACTTAAAAAAGGGAGGAAAAGAGTGCTGAACTCTAAACCATAAAACCCTAATGAACAGTTGGATCATGCAATATTTATTTATGAAATGAGCCCCTATTTATCGAATAAAGATTTTAAGATTATATTGCGTCCCCTTAGTAAAGTGGGTACAGTAGAGAATATTTTGAGTAATACATAATTATATGACCGGGAGCTTAAAATGTCTTATGACTGTATCCTGATCCGGACAGCTATGCACGGGGAGTCTAAGGGAATGACCTGTCCAGCCATGACCTAGGCGGCTATAGCTGAGGGGTTGACCAGGACATGTCGGCCGACTATCTAAGATCTGGGTGGTTTTTATCCTCCGCCCGGCCTGGTTGAAGAATACCGATAGATTTGTTCTTGCCACGTTAATATTGGTGGCTCTTCGAGAGAATAGTCTAGTTCTGCCCACTACAAGATTTTTTTCTATCGCCCAGCAGAAGCTAGGCGGGTAAAAATGAGCCCTCGAACTGCACCTGGTGGGGCTGAACTGTCATGTCATATTCTTTGTCAACTGTAAGATTTCTTTGAGACTCGTAGTAACACATTTTTTTTATGAATAGGTAACATTTAATTAATTAAAATTTATTATTTGATTGAATGTAATTAAAATTTAATATAAATTTAACTCTATGGATTTTCAAGACCACCAAAAAATTTTATTTTATTTTATACCTAAAATAAGTGAAAAGTAAATGACTATTTTTAAATTTGTTGGCTATCCACAAATAAAGGCTTTGAAATTAAAATCGAAATTAATTTGTGAGGTAAATTCAACCATAATCTAACTTAAAATGATTATGGGATCTAGTACAATTAAGCAAAATGTGAGAATAGGGTATTATCTATGAAGCACTGACGAATACGAACAAAACATTGACACGATATAACATACAATATAATTGAAAAAAATTGGACATGACACGTATTTATATTTACATATTTTTTGAAGAGTCACATAATTATGTTTTTCACATTATTCGTGAGAGAGATTTCATGCATGTTGTCCTAAATATTTAATTACTTTTCTAAAATTTATGCAGATATCACAGTATGGACTATGAGTTTAATGCAATCATCAACTTCTAAGGGCACCCAATTTTTAAAAGAATATTGTCACTGCAAATTGCAACTTACGATGTTTACAACTCATATGACAATAACGGGAGAAAATTTTACAAATGTCCTAGAATTCTGACAGAACGAGATTGAGAGCATTTCAAATGGATTGACGAAATGGATGATGCAACTTCTGACAAAGAATATGTTGACATAAAATATGTTGAGGATTTAGCTAAGAAAGTTATGAGAAATTAGCTAAGATAAATTATGAGGAATTAAGAGTTTGATGGCATCCCATCTTTTAACTGTTAAGTTTATTTTGCCTGTATTTATGTATCTTATGTTGTCAATGTATTAAAAACTATAGATGTAAAAGTTTGAAGCTGTAAAAGTAATGTGATGTTGTGTCAATTGTAAAAGTAATGTTTTGAGTTTAATCTAATGACAATCTTGAGATATTTTGTTGCCCATTCTCTATGTAATTTAATTTGAGCTCATTTTTTGGGTAACTCTGCTATAATGTGTTTTTTTTTGTAATTGAGAATTACTTCCCCTCTTCTATTTCTCCTCTTGATTTTACTTGCAATAACATGGCTTTGCTCCTTATTTATTTCATATATTACTTTATTTGCAATCATTTTTTCATAATTATGTTTATCACAACTAATTTCTTAAAATGTTAATTTTAGCATGCTTAAAAAATCATTTGTTTGAACAAAATATGACTGTATGTAAAAATCAAAGTTTAGGTGCTAGCCTATAGATTTTCTAGTACACCTACTTAAAATATGCAATATAAAAGGCTACATAAGTAAGGTTTGAGAGCATTTGAGGGGCACCTTGTCTCAGATGCATCATGATGTCAGATCACCTCCATTGGATATGTTCTTTGCTACCAGTTCCCAAGGGTAATCTACCTAATTGCCTCTGTCATTTTTAAATGTGCAACCTTATTCCAAGCTAAATCACTCTATGCATATAGATGAAACATGAGTCATTGTTGCATAAAGAAAATACCAGGATTTGCTCTCTTTTAACAATCGATGTAATTCATGAATAACATTTTTATCACGTATGGATTCTATTTATACTCGTAATGATTTATTTTCTTTAAATTGTTGCTTTAAATTTGAATCTAGCATGCATGCAGATGATACATAAATAATGAAATAAAGATGTTGTGGAAGCTAGATTAAATAAAAACTAAGTTGTCAACTGTCCCAATTTCTCTTGACGCCATTATTGTGAATCTTTAACATGCATACCCCACAATATGATGATGGCTAATTCTAATAAAATATTAATGTTATTTTGACCCCCAATTAATGAACTAAGGTAAAAGGGCAATTTTGTAATGTAACATCGCTCACCTACCACATCTCACCTACCGCCCACCTACCTTTCACCTACCACTCTCTTGCTTCTATGAATAGAGAGGGTGTGAGGTCTAGGAGAGCAAGGGAAGAGATCTTTAGCTACCACAAAGGAGGAGAGAATAGCTAGAGAGCTAGAGAGGAGGAGAGCATCTTGAGGTCTTGTATCAAGGTGTCGCTTGAGAGGGAGGCCATAGAAGGAAGATGAGGGCTCATCTCTATGTATAAGCTATGTATTCTCCATTTCTTTTGCCTTAGTGAACTATTTGATTGATTCCCTCCCGTGGAAGTAGATTCAGTTGGATCGAACCACGTAATGTTTGGTTCTTTACGTTTCATTTTTTATGCCAGGAAGTACATATCTCACAACAGTTAATATTCTCTACATCTCTATCCTACTATAGTTTTGCTTTCCTTATCTTCCTTACCCTGTTATATGGAGAGCTTCTTCCACATGTGGGCAGAGATTCAATGTAAGCCCCACAACATCAGAAAAGTCTCTACCATAGGCAATGAGAGTTAAATCCACAACAACAGGGTAAGTAAAATCCACAACACATTAGGCATAGAGTTTCGTTACAGACAAATAGGCAGTGCGAGTAAAATCCACAACAACACAATAAGTATAGAGTTTGATTACAGGCAAATAGGTAGCTCAACACAACTACCTAAAGAGCTGCACTTTTCTCACCCTGCCGACAGAATAAACCTATCATAAACACTCAAAAGTTTGATATTTGCAATTAAAACACTTTGGTAAACTCCATGAAATTAACCAACATGCAACAGGCTAATATATTTTGTTTTCCAACAACAAAAGAGATCTCAAAAAACCAACAGAAGTATGATTTCATATAATTGCATTTCATTTTGGAGATGGACCCAAATAAAACATCAAAAGCAAAAGTCCTTGCATTCCGGCCTAACCAATGATTATTACTCATTTTCATTGTCATTGTCATCACCCCTATAAGAAATATTATTTGGAAATTCACATACATACCAGACAATTCTTATGTATATACATATCTAACACTTAAAAGTATGATATTTACATTTATAAGACTTTGGTAAATGCCCCATAATTAAGCTCCAAGCAACAAGCTCAACTATACTGCTTTTTCAGCAACAAAAGAGATCCCAACATATCAGCAGCAATATAATTTCCGTTGGCTGCATTCCATTTTGGTGATGGAAGCAAATAAAATATCAACAACAAAACCCCTCGGCATTCTAGCCTAACCAATGACTACCCTTTTTCATTGTCATCAGCTCTGCCAGAAAAAAATATTTGGAAATTTACATACATACCACACAATTCTTATGTATATATATATAACTAACAATTAAAAGTATGGTATTTGCATTTATAACACTTTGGTAATTTCCCAAAAAACTAGCTGCATTTAACTGACTCAGCTACATTGTTTTCCAACGACAAAAGAGATCCCAACATATCGACATGAATATAATTTCCTTTAACTGAATTTCATTTTGAAGATGGAAAGCAAATAAAATATCAACAGCTCAGATATATGTTGTTTTCCAACAACAAAAGAGATTCCAACAAATCATTAGTGTAAATAATTTCAAATCACTTAAATTAGAAAATTATATCACCGCAGTCGAACATAAATTTTGATACATTTGGAATTAGATATTATCAAGATTCTTATGTAATATATGTTCCTGGGATTTTTCGAATCAACTCGGCTTATAAGGCGGGCACCCATCGGTAATTATCATCCAGTGATAAAAAAAATATTGTTGTGAGCTTCCTCATGTGACCTCCATAACTTCATGTATGGTAGTGATAAGTCAAACATATTCTTTAATGTATATTTGATATTAGCAATGTCGAGATTCTTCCAAGAAACAGCTTCAATCTGTTGCGCCACCAAGATAAAGTTGCCACTTTGTTACATGGCCTATGCACCCCAGGGCATAAGCGAGTTTCATGTAATTTTGTCATTTCAAACGATTGCCCATCAGCTGTAGCTGAAGTTCGCACTCTGCAAGGGCATCCTATAAGTGAACATATGGCTATAACTTGATGTTTGTTACAAGATTGAATTTTACACTCCAAAATTATTCTTAATGGCATAATATCGGAGAGCATTTTTTAAGGCAATAGAATC